CTAGAACTCACGGGAATAATACTTGAATTAAGTATTGAGACAACTTTCTCTGGTGCCTTATCCCAAAGAATTCAGCAAAACCCCGTGTTGATTCTTTCAAAGAGGCAGTCTTAGGCAACTTCTACTAGATACTTCCATCACTCGGAGTCTCACATATCTTAGTGGGACAAATTTTTCTTTTCTATTAAGTTTTCACATTTTCCATCTTATGTTTTGTCATTGTACATTTCATATTAACAAACTACCTAATCAGAAGACCAAGAGAGTCACGAAATTTAGAAGATTCTAAACCTCGTCACGTGTTTGGGGGGGGGCCTGTGGGCCGCTGGCTTCCTGACAGGGTAGGCTCTCTGCTCACAATTCTCGGGACGTATCGTCCGGAGCCTGCGGAGAGCCTACTTCGGTATGTCCCGAGGCTCAGTATCTCGCAGCCCGTCCTCAATACTGTATCCGACTTCTCAGGGACCCCGCCCGTTTTATGCACCTCCTCCCGTTCTCTTTCTTTTCTTTTTTTTTTTTTTTTTTTGATCGTCTTTAACGTTTCGGTGATTCTCACTCATCAGTTCTCTGCATCTTCGCCTCCTCAAGATAGGGAGAACTAAATCACGGCAACGACACTTTTCAATGCAATACAAACATTCATCTACACAATATTTCACTACTAATATCGCACCCATTCCTAACTGTCTTTTCCATCTTCCACCTTCATCCAGTCCCAAACTAATTTAGCATCAACTACATCTCCCTCCGTGTACTTCCTAAGGTACAATTGGTAAGCTTTTGACTCCCAACATCCGTTCTTAACTATTTCATCTAACGGCTGCTTATCATTCCACCTCAGAGTCGCACCTCCAATTCGAAAAGAATGACCAGAGAGGTGGTGGTCTTTATGATTCTTAGCCCAGACCCTTTTATAGATATTTAACACTACGGTCTTGGTCAGCGTCAGCCGTTTCCCCTTTGCATCAGTGTACGCAAACAAACGACCCGTTATATCGTCGGTATGATTTTCAGCCACTATACGTTCGAATGCTCTAACTGGACACAAATAAGAATTCATCCTTCTAACATGTAAGTATTGGACTTCACCAGGTTTAGCTGTCTTCGCGTTGTGTATCGCCAGTTTAAAGTAAGAATGGTCAGGCGCATAAATCACATCTCGTAATCGTATCACAGCCTTCTCTTTATCATCCGAGACTAATTCCCCTAGTCTCGCCATTCCCCAAAAGGCGATCAACCCTATTGCTAACGCTACGTGGTCTTTCTTGTTTCCTTTCTCCAATTCCAAAACTAATTCTGCTAAATGTCGCAATTGCACAGGTTTCCTAACCACTTGATTTAATTCTTTACACTTCGCATCCGCCACGCTCGCTGCCTTGAGCAGTAGTTTAGATACCTTATCGTTTTCTGGCGGAAAGGTTTCGTTATGGAATAGATGCCACGATCGTATTCCAGATACATACTTAAGAAGCGTCCCAGCCTTCACTTTATGTTCTTCGTTCATCTCATTGAAAATCTCCTGTTCATCTAAATCAACACTACATTCTCGACCACCCCATACCAAAAAGGACCATAACAACTCTTGGCTTAGAGGTAACAGTTCTCACCTTCCTAATTTCAACGATTCACCGAATTGCTCTAACTTTGACATTGCCGTGCTATAATTTTGTAGAGTTGCTTGTGCCCAGCTACCCCTTAACAATCTTGTCTTCACTGGGTCAGACTTCCAGTCTACAACTCTGTCATCACCAAGGTAAATACATTTCGATCAGAATTTCTCGTCTATTGCACCGGACCTCTAAGGATGGACCTAGACTTACCCTTCTCTGTTCTTCAAAAATATCAACACTTTCTTCTCATTGGTCATCATCGTTCTCAATCTCTCCTTAGCAAGGCCTTCAGATCTCTAGGTAAATCGATACGTACTTCTCGGTTGTGATCTCTCTTCTTCTCGAGGCCTCTGGATAATTTATCGGCTTCGTTATCCTTTGAAGCTACGCGTTTCGCTATTATCGAGCAATCTAGGCGAGTAAGTAGTTTCTGAATTTCTTTCCACTCTTCGTTGACTAAACAATGTTTCGACTTAAACTTGGATATGACTGCCTCTGTAGTAGTATTATCGGTATAGACAATGAAGCATCTTTTGTTGGTAGGTATAAGCTGCTCAATCATCAGTAAGCCGATTCGGACAGCCACAGTCTCCAACCAGGCGATGTCACGGTTTTGACAGTTTCGTGACATGTCTCGTGTTTCCAGTCGTCAACTAACGTGAAACTCGACCAGCGAACACCAATCAGTACACCTACACCGTACCCAGTACTAGCGTCACCAACCCACTCAATCTCGGTGGGTATTGGATCCTCCCGAAACTTCAATCTATCAAATCCTTCTAAGTTTCTCAACCATACTTTCAATTCTTCTTTCGCACCATCTGGAATTTCCCGCAGAGCACTATGGTTAAACCAAGATTTATCCCATCTATATAAATTCCATAGATAACACCTCATGAAAGGTAATAAATAAATTAGGTGACTCAATTGACCAACTAACTTTTCAACTTCCTTCTTAGAGCATTTCCTTAACGGTTTAAGTAAGTCTTTTAATCCTTCTATCCTCTCTTTCAACTTCTCTGCCGGTAACCTAACTGATTTATCTTCACCATTCCAAATAAAACCCAGGTACTTCTGTTCAACGTTCCAATCACAAAATTTTTCCGGATTTGATTGGACACCTAATTCCTTGCTAACCTCCAAAATATCATTCATATTAAGTACGTCACCTTCCACCTTTACAAACATTACGTCATCTACCCAACGAAAAACCCTTCTTACATTAAATAAAGATATGATTATATCTTTCCACGCATCAGCCAACCATCCAAAAGTGCCACAGCCTGCTACACCTCCAAACGGAATTCTAGTATCAATCCATATTCTTCCCTGGAAATCTTTAATTGTGAGATATCTCCATTGATATGCTGGTGTTGATCCTTGACGATAAGCTTTCAACCAGTCTACAATAGCTAATAAGATCTTTTTCTTTAAATTCTCCTTAAAGTAAGTTGCTACCATATTGAAATCATTCCAAGTTGTTTCAAAGTTAGATTTATCCACAAACGAGTTCACCGAAGGTATGTCTACCTCACTCGATTCATATCTAGCATGTCTTATCCAACGTGCTGCTTTGTCTATTCTGACCTTGATTTCTTCATCCTCTGAGTCTGTATCTTCCATTT